CACAAGCGGCCGAGTCCATGTCGTGGCAGCCCTTCATATGCTCCGTCAGGTTGGACTTGGTGCGGAAACACTTGCCGCACTCGGAACACTCGAACGGCTTTTCGCGGGTGTGCACGCGCTCGTGGTTCAACATGGCCGTGTACGTGCGGAACGGTTTCGAACAGTACGTGCACTGGAACCGCTGGTCGCCGCCGCCCGCACCGGCGTCGGTCGTCATCTTCGCGTTGCTCTTCATCAGCCACAGGCTGTTGTTGTGCACGCGCTTGTGCTCGAGCAGATTGCCCTTGGTCCGGAACGCCTTGCCGCACAGCTCGCAAGCGAACGGTTTTTCCCTGGTGTGAACCCGCTTGTGGTTCTCCAGCGTGGCCACCGACCGGAACTGCTTGCCGCAGTACGGGCACTGCCGGTCAACGCCGTCCGAACAGTTGTTGCCTATGTGCGCGGACAGTTGCAATTTCGACGTGAACTTTTTGTTGCACTGTTCACACGTGAACGTCGACGTAATCACAGACGCCGACGGCGGTGCAATCGTCGTCGCGACCGTCTGCGACTGCTGTTCCAGCTGTTCCCGTTGCTCGTCGTGGACGCGTTCGTGTGCGGACAACTCGTCCAGCGACACGAACACCTTGGAACACTGACCGCACGTCAGTATGTCTTCGGATGTGACAGTCACTCTGGTTATGGACGGGATGTCCCTGCTCGACGTTTTCATCCAACGCAGTTCCGGATTGTGGACTCTACGGGAAATAAATAATAATAATAATAATATAATATGATATGAGAAAAATAAAAATTGTTTTTAACTAAACGTGATGGATACTACCTATACCTAACTATAGACTATAGGTGCCTATTCGTACATATTCGAATAACAAATAGGTACAAACATTAGTCTGAGTTCGCTCTGGTATCGACTGGTAGAACCATTTGTAGTGGGGGGGATGAACTAAAGGTACAAACTCAGTCTTTGTATACTATATTTAGTTTTAAATTGTGTTTAGGTATTACAAGATATAATAGGTACATATTATATCATGTTTTTTCTTTAAATATGTTTTGCCAGTTACGAGTATTAAAATGCGCATACCTAACTTGTTTTAAAACTAAAATAAACAAAAACGCTTATGTATGGCCCTAAATAATATTAACAGTCAAATACTCTAAAATTTAAAAGAACATATTAAAGTGAATTATTATCAACGTATAACGTAAGGTTTACTATGTTATGCCGTGCGTTAGTCAAACGAAGACTACCCTGCGAGAACAACGTCCTCTTAAATAACCCGTGGCCAGTGTCATTTTGGCATTAATTGTCAACTGTGTTACGATTCTAAAAAAAAATCAGTGGTCTAAAAACTATATTTTTATAACGAATGCTAAAATGAACTGGGGGGTTATAAGAGGTTATGGATGGACAATTTTAACCACATATTAGGACGAACAATTAATATTGTATAGATTTATTGAAATGTAACAATTTAATTAAAATGGTAAGAGGACGCTACACCCATGTATTTGTTGTCTCCGTCTTCCACACGAACAACATGGCACATGTTCGTTCACTAGTTTTCTGTTAGTTTTGATAACTGAGTGAATTGACCTATTGGCTATTACCTCTTAGGTAACTTTAAAGGTAAGAACATTATCTGTGCTCAAGTGTCGGATTTTATTCGATATTTTAATTTTCAAGCGAGATATGAGCATTTTTAATTCGTGATATTTCACTTAATCATATCTTGCTTGAAAAAGAAAATATCGGAAAAATCACCGGCGCTTAATCATAGATAGTGTTCTTGCCTAAAAGTTTGATAATAGGTCAATTCACTCTAAAATTAAAACTAACACAGTACCTAACACCAGACTGTTGAAGCTAATTAACGAGAATGTCGTACATTTGTAAGATGGAGACAATTAACACATGCAGGGTAGTGTCCTCTTAATGTCATCAGAAACAATTGAGTTACAGTAAAATTATTTATAAATAGGCCTGCCCCCTGGGCCATCTCCCATTGAAGACGCTTCGGGTCAAGACCGTACTCAGCATTTTTTTTTTTTGGTGGGAAGGGAATAAATGTCTTTATTGGTTCAGAATATAAAAGTAGGAGGTATTTAAGTTGGCCGAAATTCAAATTAATGTTAAAATTTTTAACCTACTTCGAAAAAATGTTGATGGGTGCGAGGTTGGACCTTAGTCAGAACTAAAAACAATTTTATTCAAGTTTGAAAAACTCAAAATCAATGAATTCAATAAGTAATTAACAATAAGTAATTTTTTCATATTTTTGATATTGAAAAAATAAAAACAACGTTGCAACGTAAATGTTCTCCTCTTTATAGTGTGAAAATTTGGTTCCTTAGCTTGGACTACAGCCTGAGTGGATCTTACCCGCAGAAAACAGATTTTGCCATGTTTTACATTTTTAATTCTCTATTATACAACCACATAACTCGTAGTTGTTAGTCATAACTCACAAGTCACATTGCAATAACAAGAAAATAATATTATTGCATACAATTATGTATAAATATATATATATACAGCGTGATTCTTTTATCAAACAACACTCATTATTTCAAAAAGTGTAAATTTTTTTGAAGATATTTTTTTTACATAGTTTCAAGTTGCTTATAAAACAACGTTTTTATTAAAAAATTATATTTTTAATTATTTTTTATCCTTATAATTTTTTAAGTTTTTTACTTTTTTGAATGACAACATAGGGTTTTAATTTGATATTCTAAAGTAGAATATTTTTCTTAGTATTTTGATACATGAAAATTTAATTTGGGGCGAGTAGTTTATGAGTTATAAGTAATTAAAGTTTAGACGAGCGGTGAAGTGGACAAACATTTCGCGGGGTAACCCCGAACCACTCCACTCCGCTCGTCTAAACTTTAAATACTTATAACTCATACACTACTCAACCCAAATTCGATTTTCATGTATCAAAATACTAAGAAAAATATTCTGCTTTGGAATATAAAATTAAAACCCTATGTTGTTATTCAAAAAAGTAAAAAACTTAAAAAATTATAAGGATAAAAAATATTTAAAAATATAATTTTTTAATAAAAACGTTGTTTTATAAGCGACTTGAAACTATGTAAAAAAATATTTTCAAAAAAATTTACACTTTTTGAAATAATGAGTGTTGTTTGATAAAAGAATCACGCTGTATATATATATTTATACATAATTGTATGCAATAATATTATTTTCTTGTTATTGCAATGTGACTTGTGAGTTATGACTAACAACTACGAGTTATGTGGTTGTATAATAGAGAATTAAAAATGTAAAACATGGCAAAATCTGTTTTCTGCGGGTAAGATCCACTCAGGCTGTAGTCCAAGCTAAGGAACCAAATTTTCACACTATAAAGAGGAGAACATTTACGTTGCAACGTTGTTTTTATTTTTTCAATATCAAAAATATGAAAAAATTACTTATTGTTAATTACTTATTGAATTCATTGATTTTGAGTTTTTCAAACTTGAATAAAATTGTTTTTAGTTCTGACTAAGGTCCAACCTCGCACCCATCAACATTTTTTCGAAGTAGGTTAAAAATTTTAACATTAATTTGAATTTCGGCCAACTTAAATACCTCCTACTTTTATATTCTGAACCAATAAAGACATTTATTCCCTTCCCACCAAAAAAAAAAAATGCTGAGTACGGTCTTGACCCGAAGCGTCTTCAATGGGAGATGGCCCAGGGGGCAGGCCTATTTATAAATAATTTTACTGTAACTCAATTGTTTCTGATGACATTAAGAGGACACTACCCTGCATGTGTTAATTGTCTCCATCTTACAAATGTACGACATTCTCGTTAATTAGCTTCAACAGTCTGGTGTTAGGTACTGTGTTAGTTTTAATTTTAGAGTGAATTGACCTATTATCAAACTTTTAGGCAAGAACACTATCTATGATTAAGCGCCGGTGATTTTTCCGATATTTTCTTTTTCAAGCAAGATATGATTAAGTGAAATATCACGAATTAAAAATGCTCATATCTCGCTTGAAAATTAAAATATCGAATAAAATCCGACACTTGAGCACAGATAATGTTCTTACCTTTAAAGTTACCTAAGAGGTAATAGCCAATAGGTCAATTCACTCAGTTATCAAAACTAACAGAAAACTAGTGAACGAACATGTGCCATGTTGTTCGTGTGGAAGACGGAGACAACAAATACATGGGTGTAGCGTCCTCTTACCATTTTAATTAAATTGTTACATTTCAATAAATCTATACAATATTAATTGTTCGTCCTAATATGTGGTTAAAATTGTCCATCCATAACCTCTTATAACCCCCCAGTTCATTTTAGCATTCGTTATAAAAATATAGTTTTTAGACCACTGATTTTTTTTTAGAATCGTAACACAGTTGACAATTAATGCCAAAATGACACTGGCCACGGGTTATTTAAGAGGACGTTGTTCTCGCAGGGTAGTCTTCGTTTGACTAACGCACGGCATAACATAGTAAACCTTACGTTATACGTTGATAATAATTCACTTTAATATGTTCTTTTAAATTTTAGAGTATTTGACTGTTAATATTATTTAGGGCCATACATAAGCGTTTTTGTTTATTTTAGTTTTAAAACAAGTTAGGTATGCGCATTTTAATACTCGTAACTGGCAAAACATATTTAAAGAAAAAACATGATATAATATGTACCTATTATATCTTGTAATACCTAAACACAATTTAAAACTAAATATAGTATACAAAGACTGAGTTTGTACCTTTAGTTCATCCCCCCCACTACAAATGGTTCTACCAGTCGATACCAGAGCGAACTCAGACTAATGTTTGTACCTATTTGTTATTCGAATATGTACGAATAGGCACCTATAGTCTATAGTTAGGTATAGGTAGTATCCATCACGTTTAGTTAAAAACAATTTTTATTTTTCTCATATCATATTATATTATTATTATTATTATTTATTTCCCGTAGAGTCCACAATCCGGAACTGCGTTGGATGAAAACGTCGAGCAGGGACATCCCGTCCATAACCAGAGTGACTGTCACATCCGAAGACATACTGACGTGCGGTCAGTGTTCCAAGGTGTTCGTGTCGCTGGACGAGTTGTCCGCACACGAACGCGTCCACGACGAGCAACGGGAACAGCTGGAACAGCAGTCGCAGACGGTCGCGACGACGATTGCACCGCCGTCGGCGTCTGTGATTACGTCGACGTTCACGTGTGAACAGTGCAACAAAAAGTTCACGTCGAAATTGCAACTGTCCGCGCACATAGGCAACAACTGTTCGGACGGCGTTGACCGGCAGTGCCCGTACTGCGGCAAGCAGTTCCGGTCGGTGGCCACGCTGGAGAACCACAAGCGGGTTCACACCAGGGAAAAACCGTTCGCTTGCGAGCTGTGCGGCAAGGCGTTCCGGACCAAGGGCAATCTGCTCGAGCACAAGCGCGTGCACAACAACAGCCTGTGGCTGATGAAGAGCAACGCGAAGATGACGACCGACGCCGGTGCGGGCGGCGGCGACCAGCGGTTCCAGTGCACGTACTGTTCGAAACCGTTCCGCACGTACACGGCCATGTTGAACCACGAGCGCGTGCACACCCGCGAAAAGCCGTTCGAGTGTTCCGAGTGCGGCAAGTGTTTCCGCACCAAGTCCAACCTGACGGAGCACATGAAGGGCTGCCACGACATGGACTCGGCCGCTTGTGGCTCGGACGAAGTGCAAGTGTTCACGTTCAAGACCCATTCGACGATGGTTACCCCCAAAGCCGAGCCGGAGTCGGCGTGACGACCGTGACAGTCATTTTGACGATGATTTCTATCATTCATACGATTAATTGTTAGGTATGCATTTATTTTATTGTGTTATACAATTTTTATAGGATCAGAACATAATCTCGTACCAGCATTTATATACGTAACCACAATAATGTTATTTTGGTATATATTTAATAATTTAGTTACACATAAAACAGTACAATATAATTTACATTTTATTCTTTTGCAAGTACACATTTACATGATATAATTTATTATTATAATATGTGTATACAATAATATATATATAATATTAATTCGACGTTTATTGTTTAATCAAATTTTGCGGCGATTATAATATAACTATATAATAATATTATGTATTTAAATGTTCGTTTAGCTATATGATAGTTATAATAATAATGATAATAATAATAATAATAATAATTAATAATAATGATAATAATATTAATATGTTAATAAATGTTAATAATTACAATTACATATTATAAATATAAGTACCTCCTATTCGTCTAACATTGTTCGTGTCGGTAGGTACGTATCTAATGTGTTATATAAATTATAATATTACTCAGTATAACTGCTAAGTAATAGTATATTACAATTATACGTAACTAATACAATCATGTTTTTATCGGTTCGTCGAGAATTGCACGGCGTCGTCGACAGCAGCTTACACTACGTCGTACACGCCCGAAATATCGGAATTCAACGTTGACATAATATTATTATTATTAATAATAATTGATATTGCTCGTGTACGCGTGTGTCTGATTATCGCATTATTGTCGTTGTTGTTATATTTTGACAAGCTGATGTCACTGCAAGCGTGGCCAGTATTGAGAGGACAGGTCGGCCGTGTGCCCTGGTACGGCGATCGGCACCGAAACTCCGGGCGATATGAGACCTGCAGAACCGAAAAATATTGAAATTATTATTAATTATTTATATTATTTGAACTTAAACGGGTCGTGATGATGATATGATATGTCACGATATTACAATTTACACTCAAGGGTACAAACGCTAGTACAATACAGATAGGTACTTAAAAATACAAAAAATTCCATTCACATGATTGGGACTTGACTGTCTTGCGTTGACGTGATGAGACTGACGATTATAATATTACTATATGATGTATATTTTTACTCGATGAAAATTTGTAAAAATTATTAAGTATATTGATCTAGGAAAACCTATTTTTCTTTATTCGTAACATTCTGTAACATTGAATATTTACTAACAACATAGGTTGTTGAAGCTGCAGCAGGTAACGAGAAAAAAGAAAAATATTATATTATATTGGTGTATTGTGTATTAATTTACTATTACCCTACCATACATTCCGAATCCGTGATTTACATATATAATTGTGTGTTCGTATATACCGTATATCATCTACGATTCAAGGGGGAGGGGGGGTGGCACAGATAGGTAGTATGGTATATAGGTAGTATGGTTATATAGTGTATAGCTAAATACCTATACTATAATAGTATAATGTATCATCCCTTGAACTGGTGCTAAGGGCGCCGACATATTGAAATAAGTACATAGGTAGGTACCTATATATTGCCTTACAGGATATGCAGACGCGGTTTTAAAGTTTTTTCTCACCCCGTTTGTTCACAATATTGCTGAGCTGTGCACTGTGCATGTATATAATATATTGGTACTTAATGTGGCCCCCTACACAGCACTGTCTTCCCAGCTTGAATCGCCCTCGAATTCCGATCCGTACCATCGTACAATTCAGAGTTAAGATTGCACAGGGACGAGGGACTCAGCAGCAAAGAAGTGAAAATGTATTTATTTTTTCGTATTTAATTCGAGTTTATATAAATTTACAATACCTACCCAAGTCACCCCATTTGGGTTTTGTACTTGGTGCATCGCCGTACCTCTAATATATTATATTATACAGGACGGTCGCTTTTTTCATTTAACTAGGCATTTATATTTTGATTTTTGAAATTTTGACATATAGGTAAGTAATAACAATATTTTTAAATATTTAGATTTGTTTCAAAAATGTATAAGGAGCTTGTTCTTTTTCCAAATGATTAATGAGAATTATCCGTTTTTACTGTACTATTAATATACCATATAAAATTATTCTCATATTTAGTCTATATTGCTTATCATTCTCGAACAATTCTTATACATTATGAAACGCGAATCGAATTAATATTGATAACTATAATTTACAAATCGTCATAGCCCTTTTATCAGCTCTGTATAGTACGTACCTGTACACCATTTACCTATAAGGCTATATCAAAATATGGTCTTATTAGTTATGACCTATCCTATTAGTTCATTGCAGCCTTAAATAACTCAGTACAACTAGGTACTCGTTCGAATTTCTATTTGACTATACGCATCAACGTTTTCAAAAACAATCATCTGTTCAAAAATTTACATTAAAATGGGGTGGTTTTTATTTGGGAAAAAAAAATAGTTTGTAGAACACTATTATTAAATGGTAACTATGAAAATCTATGATGTATTTGAAATTTGAGAATATGGTTTTACCATATTAATGAAGTACATTAAGTACAAATAGTACCTATTGTTGAATCAAACTTTGAATAAATGTGTAGAAAACATGCGAAGTTCGATGGAAATTATAATCGAGTACATATACTTACCCTGAACTCAAACGGTCCGACTGTCAGAGAAAAATCAAGTTCGATTCGATACTTTATTACAGGTATATATTTTATAACTAAATACAAATAGCCTTACTCTAGAATACCTACCATTTATATTCGCCGCATTTCATGTATACCTTAGCCTATCACAGTTATAAAACAGGGTCTGCAATATTTCAATTATTTGAAATTACAAAATGGAATGATAAATTTAATTTAAAGTTTCAAAGTAAGTACCAGCACAGTATGTTCGCAAAAAGTTGGAGAAAAAAACGGATTTCGAATTCGTGAAAATTGGAGTTCGACCCATTGCTATAATATTATAAAATTGTTACGGACCCCCGCGAAACATTTATCAACGATATATGGGTAGGTACGTTATGACGTACAACATTAAATGTCCGTACCTGTGGAGTTTGAGCCGTTCATGTTGTACTGGTGGTGCGCGTGGTGGTGCGGATGGTGTCCGTTGATGGGCGGCGGGTGGTGATGGTAAGCAGCGGCGGCGGCTGCTGCGGCGGCGGCCGCGTGGTGAGTCGGCGGGCTGCTGTTGTTGTTGGACGTGGGCGACACGGGCGGCCTCAGGTAGCCGGGCGCGCCGATGGCCAGCGGTGGAGACGTGTCGTACGTGGGTCTGGACATGCAGCCGTACGCATCTCGCTGGTCGCCGCCGCCGGTCATGGCGTGGTGGCCGCCCATGATTGGCAGCGACAGGCCGTTCTCGTTGTTGCCGCCGGGCATACCGAAATTCATCGACATCGGGCTGTATAACACATGAAAAACGAGTGGGTCAAAATTAAGTAAAATACATACGCCTATAATAATGATAAGTAAGTTTAGTCGGAGCACCAGCTACCTCATAGGTATTGTAAGACCGAAATTTTCGTAAATATTGCCGTATTTTATGAATATTTTATTGGGAAACTGTTATATTAATATAATAAACATTTTAATATTTTGTTTTTCAGAGTACCTTAGCGAATAATATTATTTTTTGACGTGAGCTAAGATTATTAGTATTTGAGTAGTATTTGATCTAGAGTAAGGCTATTTGTATTTAGTTATAAAATATATACCTGTAATAAAGTATCGAATCGAACTTGATTTTTCTCTGACAGTCGGACCGTTTGAGTTCAGGGTAAGTATATGTACTCGATTATAATTTCCATCGAACTTCGCATGTTTTCTACACATTTATTCAAAGTTTGATTCAACAATAGGTACTATTTGTACTTAATGTACTTCATTAATATGGTAAAACCATATTCTCAAATTTCAAATACATCATAGATTTTCATAGTTACCATTTAATAATAGTGTTCTACAAACTATTTTTTTTTCCCAAATAAAAACCACCCCATTTTAATGTAAATTTTTGAACAGATGATTGTTTTTGAAAACGTTGATGCGTATAGTCAAATAGAAATTCGAACGAGTACCTAGTTGTACTGAGTTATTTAAGGCTGCAATGAACTAATAGGATAGGTCATAACTAATAAGACCATATTTTGATATAGCCTTATAGGTAAATGGTGTACAGGTACGTACTATACAGAGCTGATAAAAGGGCTATGACGATTTGTAAATTATAGTTATCAATATTAATTCGATTCGCGTTTCATAATGTATAAGAATTGTTCGAGAATGATAAGCAATATAGACTAAATATGAGAATAATTTTATATGGTATATTAATAGTACAGTAAAAACGGATAATTCTCATTAATCATTTGGAAAAAGAACAAGCTCCTTATACATTTTTGAAACAAATCTAAATATTTAAAAATATTGTTATTACTTACCTATATGTCAAAATTTCAAAAATCAAAATATAAATGCCTAGTTAAATGAAAAAAGCGACCGTCCTGTATAATATAATATATTAGAGGTACGGCGATGCACCAAGTACAAAACCCAAATGGGGTGACTTGGGTAGGTATTGTAAATTTATATAAACTCGAATTAAATACGAAAAAATAAATACATTTTCACTTCTTTGCTGCTGAGTCCCTCGTCCCTGTGCAATCTTAACTCTGAATTGTACGATGGTACGGATCGGAATTCGAGGGCGATTCAAGCTGGGAAGACAGTGCTGTGTAGGGGGCCACATTAAGTACCAATATATTATATACATGCACAGTGCACAGCTCAGCAATATTGTGAACAAACGGGGTGAGAAAAAACTTTAAAACCGCGTCTGCATATCCTGTAAGGCAATATATAGGTACCTACCTATGTACTTATTTCAATATGTCGGCGCCCTTAGCACCAGTTCAAGGGATGATACATTATACTATTATAGTATAGGTATTTAGCTATACACTATATAACCATACTACCTATATACCATACTACCTATCTGTGCCACCCCCCCTCCCCCTTGAATCGTAGATGATATACGGTATATACGAACACACAATTATATATGTAAATCACGGATTCGGAATGTATGGTAGGGTAATAGTAAATTAATACACAATACACCAATATAATATAATATTTTTCTTTTTTCTCGTTACCTGCTGCAGCTTCAACAACCTATGTTGTTAGTAAATATTCAATGTTACAGAATGTTACGAATAAAGAAAAATAGGTTTTCCTAGATCAATATACTTAATAATTTTTACAAATTTTCATCGAGTAAAAATATACATCATATAGTAATATTATAATCGTCAGTCTCATCACGTCAACGCAAGACAGTCAAGTCCCAATCATGTGAATGGAATTTTTTGTATTTTTAAGTACCTATCTGTATTGTACTAGCGTTTGTACCCTTGAGTGTAAATTGTAATATCGTGACATATCATATCATCATCACGACCCGTTTAAGTTCAAATAATATAAATAATTAATAATAATTTCAATATTTTTCGGTTCTGCAGGTCTCATATCGCCCGGAGTTTCGGTGCCGATCGCCGTACCAGGGCACACGGCCGACCTGTCCTCTCAATACTGGCCACGCTTGCAGTGACATCAGCTTGTCAAAATATAACAACAACGACAATAATGCGATAATCAGACACACGCGTACACGAGCAATATCAATTATTATTAATAATAATAATATTATGTCAACGTTGAATTCCGATATTTCGGGCGTGTACGACGTAGTGTAAGCTGCTGTCGACGACGCCGTGCAATTCTCGACGAACCGATAAAAACATGATTGTATTAGTTACGTATAATTGTAATATACTATTACTTAGCAGTTATACTGAGTAATATTATAATTTATATAACACATTAGATACGTACCTACCGACACGAACAATGTTAGACGAATAGGAGGTACTTATATTTATAATATGTAATTGTAATTATTAACATTTATTAACATATTAATATTATTATCATTATTATTAATTATTATTATTATTATTATTATCATTATTATTATAACTATCATATAGCTAAACGAACATTTAAATACATAATATTATTATATAGTTATATTATAATCGCCGCAAAATTTGATTAAACAATAAACGTCGAATTAATATTATATATATATTATTGTATACACATATTATAATAATAAATTATATCATGTAAATGTGTACTTGCAAAAGAATAAAATGTAAATTATATTGTACTGTTTTATGTGTAACTAAATTATTAAATATATACCAAAATAACATTATTGTGGTTACGTATATAAATGCTGGTACGAGATTATGTTCTGATCCTATAAAAATTGTATAACACAATAAAATAAATGCATACCTAACAATTAATCGTATGAATGATAGAAATCATCGTCAAAATGACTGTCACGGTCGTCACGCCGACTCCGGCTCGGCTTTGGGGGTAACCATCGTCGAATGGGTCTTGAACGTGAACACTTGCACTTCGTCCGAGCCACAAGCGGCCGAGTCCATGTCGTGGCAGCCCTTCATGTGCTCCGTCAGGTTGGACTTGGTGCGGAAACACTTGCCGCACTCGGAACACTCGAACGGCTTTTCGCGGGTGTGCACGCGCTCGTGGTTCAACATGGCCGTGTACGTGCGGAACGGTTTCGAACAGTACGTGCACTGGAACCGCTGGTCGCCGCCGCCCGCACCGGCGTCGGTCGTCATCTTCGCGTTGCTCTTCATCAGCCACAGGCTGTTGTTGTGCACGCGCTTGTGCTCGAGCAGATTGCCCTTGGTCCGGAACGCCTTGCCGCACAGCTCGCAAGCGAACGGTTTTTCCCTGGTGTGAACCCGCTTGTGGTTCTCCAGCGTGGCCACCGACCGGAACTGCTTGCCGCAGTACGGGCACTGCCGGTCAACGCCGTCCGAACAGTTGTTGCCTATGTGCGCGGACAGTTGCAATTTCGACGTGAACTTTTTGTTGCACTGTTCACACGTGAACGTCGACGTAATCACAGACGCCGACGGCGGTGCAATCGTCGTCGCGACCGTCTGCGACTGCTGTTCCAGCTGTTCCCGTTGCTCGTCGTGGACGCGTTCGTGTGCGGACAACTCGTCCAGCGACACGAACACCTTGGAACACTGACCGCACGTCAGTATGTCTTCGGATGTGACAGTCACTCTGGTTATGGACGGGATGTCCCTGCTCGACGTTTTCATCCAACGCAGTTCCGGATTGTGGACTCTACGGGAAATAAATAATAATAATAATAATATAATATGATATGAGAAAAATAAAAATTGTTTTTAACTAAACGTGATGGATACTACCTATACCTAACTATAGACTATAGGTGCCTATTCGTACATATTCGAATAACAAATAGGTACAAACATTAGTCTGAGTTCGCTCTGGTATCGACTGGTAGAACCATTTGTAGTGGGGGGGATGAACTAAAGGTACAAACTCAGTCTTTGTATACTATATTTAGTTTTAAATTGTGTTTAGGTATTACAAGATATAATAGGTACATATTATATCATGTTTTTTCTTTAAATATGTTTTGCCAGTTACGAGTATTAAAATGCGCATACCTAACTTGTTTTAAAACTAAAATAAACAAAAACGCTTATGTATGGCCCTAAATAATATTAACAGTCAAATACTCTAAAATTTAAAAGAACATATTAAAGTGAATTATTATCAACGTATAACGTAAGGTTTACTATGTTATGCCGTGCGTTAGTCAAACGAAGACTACCCTGCGAGAACAACGTCCTCTTAAATAACCCGTGGCCAGTGTCATTTTGGCATTAATTGTCAACTGTGTTACGATTCTAAAAAAAAATCAGTGGTCTAAAAACTATATTTTTATAACGAATGCTAAAATGAACTGGGGGGTTATAAGAGGTTATGGATGGACAATTTTAACCACATATTAGGACGAACAATTAATATTGTATAGATTTATTGAAATGTAACAATTTAATTAAAATGGTAAGAGGACGCTACACCCATGTATTTGTTGTCTCCGTCTTCCACACGAACAACATGGCACATGTTCGTTCACTAGTTTTCTGTTAGTTTTGATAACTGAGTGAATTGACCTATTGGCTATTACCTCTTAGGTAACTTTAAAGGTAAGAACATTATCTGTGCTCAAGTGTCGGATTTTATTCGATATTTTAATTTTCAAGCGAGATATGAGCATTTTTAATTCGTGATATTTCACTTAATCATATCTTGCTTGAAAAAGAAAATATCGGAAAAATCACCGGCGCTTAATCATAGATAGTGTTCTTGCCTAAAAGTTTGATAATAGGTCAATTCACTCTAAAATTAAAACTAACACAGTACCTAACACCAGACTGTTGAAGCTAATTAACGAGAATGTCGTACATTTG